AAGCAATGCAAAAAAAAAGTCGGTGGACGAGTGGGTAACACCCTCGATTCCCGACAGTTATGAACCGGGATTGAATCCCGCATTAAAATTTTGTTTAATATGTGAATAACACTTCACATATTATTCATTGTATCAATTATCATAAACTAGGTTGCTCTTGTTGAGCGGTACCTAATAAAGTGATTTTGGACCGGTTGAATTTGTTAAAAGCCAAAATATATTTATTAAGAAATAAATTAATAACAGGTTTACCCACAAATCTCAATAAGTTATTTAAGAAAACAATAGTTTAGATGTTATGGGGAATTTAACCATAGAAAAACACTGGAAGGATTGAAGTATGCATATTATCGAAGTAGGTATTGAAGAGATATTGCTGTATGTGTATATATGTGCCAAAAGTGGCACTTCTCCCTTTAAAACTTCTTTAAAACAACACATTTGGTTTATTAGACCAGTACGAAACGTAAAGTTGGTAATAAAGGACATAAGTTTTGTCAAATTCAGACAAAAGTCAACACCCTGTATACCATAGTTTCTGGCTTTGAACCTCATCAGTACAGGAGCGGCCTTGATTTCATAATAACCTACGAGAGGATTAAAGAAATTGGTCGTATTTTAAGGAAAAAAGTGTTTATTCTGGTGAATTAGGAAGAACCATTATCAGTCTAGATTACAATATAAAGTTACTAGAGGATGAAATTCATTAACAAAAAGTGCCAAATCTTTCTTTGAATAATGCATTAAAACAATGTATTTATCATTTCAGTATATAATATAACGCGGCTGATGATTGTAAAACGAAAATTAAAATTATACCGCGAATGTTTCTTTTAAAAATCGAAATTTATTTTCAAAGAGAAATAGCGACATTTCTAACTTTGAGGATGAGGTATGGAAAGGTGAAACATGAAGAGTAATGGAGAACGGAAAAATAAAAAGTGTCCAGGGGCGGGAATCGAACCCATACGTCCAGGGTAGCCGAGTGGACAAGGCACCTGCCCGGTAAGCAGAAGGGTGTGGGTTCGATTCCCGCCCCTGGACACTTTTTATTTTTCCGTTCTCCATTACTCTTCATGTTTCACCTTTCCATACCTCATCCTCAAAGTTAGAAATGTCGCTATTTCTCTTTGAAAATAAATTTCGATTTTTAAAAGAAACATTCGCGGTATAATTTTAATTTTCGTTTTACATTTCAGTATATAGCGGAAAGTTAGTGATAATGAGCAATAACACCATATTTGGAAAATCCATACCACCATGGTATATAGATTAAGAAAAAGACATCTCCTTATCGTGTAACTGAAATTTACTGATGACTTGCTCCATCTATCGGAATAAATACCAACTATTCGTTGATTTTTAATTATTCCAGAATTGGCCAAATACCCATTCTTGATTAATCAAGTAAAACTAACCACGTACGCTTTTCGGGCTGTTTATTGTGATTAATCAAGAATGGGTATTTGGCCAATTCTGGAATAATTAAAAATCAACGAATAGTTGGTGCCGATAAATGACACAAGCCATTAGCAACTTTCAGTTGCACGATAAGATGTCTTTTTCTTAATTTATTCACCTTATCCCAGTACAATTTCACATTTGTCTATTTTTTCACATGGTATATTGGTTAGCTTTTGTCTTAATATCGCTTAACAGAAGACAAGTCTGATATTGTGTGTAAACAACGGGGTTTATAATACAATATAATGAGGCTTATGATTGTAAAACGACATTAGGAAATTATCCCACATGTTTTCTTTTGAACGAAAAATCGAAATTTTATTTAAAGGAGAAATAACGACTACTTCCAACCCTAGGGATGAAGTATGAAAGGATGAATTGTGAAGAGTAATGATAAACGAAAAAAAAAAGGTGTCCAGGGTAACCTAGTGGACATGGCATCTGCCCAGTAAGCGGAACACTGTGGGTTCGTTTCCCATCCCTGGACACTTTATTTTTCCGTTTATCATTACTCTTCACAATTTATCCTTTCATACTTCATCCCTAGGGTTGGAAGTAGTCGTTATTTCTTCTTAAAATAAAATTTCGATTTTTCGTTCAAAAGAAACACATGCGGGATATTTGTCAAACGTGGTTTAGATGGAATATATAAACGTTTTATTCAGTCAAAAAGGTGAAATCTCCAAAGGAAAGGTACAGTAACTACCCAGAAAGAGATCTACCCACTAGCTAAGGTACCAGCTGTGGTCATCACAGCTGTCGGTCGTAGGATGAATCGACCCCCAATTTCCCCAGCTTGTCTTTTCAATTACACGCTCGGTATCTCAATTATTTAATATCTTTTCGTATATTTCCTTCATAGTCACTTATTTGACGGGAAAGTCTGAAAATAATTATCACTAATACCTCCCTATATCTCACCGGAATACTCTATGCTCCATTTCACATTGTAATCTTCCCTTTTTATATAGAACTTGCCAGTAAAACATTTCAATTCAATAATTTATTGTCATTATTATTATTTTGATAGTTATTTTTTATTCGTCTGTTGTGAAATAAAAGAAAATTATATTTTTGAATAAATATATTTACAGAGGTCCCAAAAGAGGGGTGGGGGAGTGGTATAAAATATCGATTTATAACAATCAATACTCTTTAAAAAGACATTATATATGTTTTTACAGATATTTTATAGTTTAATAGCATTCAGCGATAAAATTATGAAATTTTGACCATAATTTTTAACACTCTCTTTATTAATTAATTCATTCATATTTTGTGTTTGATGTGAAATTCTTATGAAAATAGTCTCAATTTTGTCAACAAAAAATAAAAAAGAAATACACACATCTTAGTTATTGTCTGAATCCTGATATACATGCTAAAAGGTACAACTTCCTTAAATTTTGTCTATGAATGTATTTGAAAAGAAAATTAGCGGTTTAAAATATTCTAAATCATACACAGTAAGATGTTCACAATACCTT